TAGAATAGAATGCAGAATAGAATAGAATAGAATGCAGAATAGAATAGAACAGAATGCAGAATAGAATGCAGAATAGAATAGAATAGAATAGAATGCAGAATAGAATAGAATAGAATAGAATGCAGAATAGAATAGAATAGAATGCAGAATAGAATGCAGAATAGAATGCAGAATAGAATAGAATAGAATAGAATGCAGAATAGAGAGTGGAAGGGAAGGGAAGAGAAGAGACGTCCAACCCTCTGCTCAAGCAGGAGACCCCTCCACCATTCCAGTCAAGGGACTGTCTAGCGGTCCCTTCTTAAAAACCTCCAGGGATGAAGACGATTTCTGGTGTCGGGCTGTTCCACCGGTTAATTGTTCCTCACGGGTCGGAAGCTGAGCTTCCTCCCTTACACCACCGTCCCGGTCTCTTCGGGAAAACCCACCTCGCCCTTGGCTTCATTCGCGAGGCCTCGGCTGCTGTTCTTGGATCCCGGGACGCTCCCTCTTCCCAGGCTACAGTTCGGGGTGGTGCCGCAGCTGCTGCTGATGATCTGGAGCTGCTTCTCCGCCCGGTCCGCTCGGTCCAGGAGCTCCTCGATGAACTGCTGGAGCCGGACTTTGGCGTTGGCTTCGCGGACGGCCGTCTCCTTCAAGAACTGGTCTATCTGGATGACCTCCCTGCGGGCGAGAAGCGGAGCATTAAGAGCCACACGGCCGGATTAGGAAAGACACGTACAGATACAGGCAGTCCTCGCTTTACGACTACAATCCAGCCCAACATTTCCGCGACTCCTTGAGGCCTCCGCTGTTCAGTGAGTTTTGCCTCGTTTTACGACCAGTTTGATAGTTCTGGATGATGAGTTCTTTCACAAATAGCTAACAAATAAGACTAGTGATAATATTATTTACATTTAGGCCATAGCGAGGGATACTGAAGTATTCCAGCCACCATCGTTAGGCGAATCTCTGCCGTTGTTAAGCCAGTAACCCCGTTGTTCTGTGAATCGGGCTTCCCCATTGTCAGAAGGTGGCAAAAAAAAGGGGGGAATGCATGACCCCGGGACACGTCGTAAGTCTGAATCAGTTGCCTAGGGCCTGAATTTTGACCATAAGGATGCTGCAACGGTCGTAAGTGTGAAAAATGTCACGTGGCTTTTTTTAAATTACCTTTGAACGGTCGCTAAATGAAAGGTCGTAAACTGAGGATTACCTACAGTCCTCGGCTAACAACCAGACCGGCATCTGCATCATTCCGGTTGTAAGTTGCAACGGTGATAAAGTGGATCATCACCACAAGTCAGCCCTGATAGCACAACCTTTTTGGCAGTTGTCGTTAGGAAGACCCGCATGGCCGTTAAACGGATCTAGAGTCGTTAAGCGAAAAGGTTGTTCATTTTGGGGCTTTTTTGCTGAAAACTGGAAGGAAGCAAAGGGATTTTTGGCACAAATGTGATAAATCGTGGGTGGGACTCACTTAGACAGCAAAATTTTGGAACTAAGTCATAACTTCCTTTGGTGTGTGTGTGTGTGTGTGTGTGTGTGTGTGTTTCTGTTATAACTTTGGTTGTAAGTTGAGGACAACCTGCCAGTGAATTCAGGTAGTGCTCAACTCGCAACAGTCCATTTAATGACCATTCAAATTTACAACGGAACCGAAAACAGCGGCCGATTCCATTGTTCACACTTAACGACCGTTCCAGCATCCCCGTGAATAAAATTCAGACGCTTGGCAAGCGACTCGTATTTATGACGGTTGCGGTGACCACGGGGGTGCCCTTTCGTGACTTTCTGACCAGCAAAGCAACGGGGAAGCCAGATCCACTTAACGATCCCCCATTCCTCACTTAACAACAGCACTACTACAATGGAAGCAAGAAAGCGGGGGGGGGGCAAAACTCACCTCACTGAGGCCTCACTTAGCCACGGAAATGTTGGGCTCAATTATGGCCGTAAGTCCGAGGACCACCTCTATTTAGGCACAAGGAACAAAACACAACATACTTAACAATGGCTTTCCGCTCAGCCACAGAAATTGGGAGCTCCGATGTGGTCGTAAGTCGAGGACAACTTGTTCAGCAATAACCCAGTATGCCTAATGACAGGTGTCAATCAGCCTGCTAAACTCCCGGGCCTGAATGCCTGAACATTACATCTACTGGGGGTTTTTTT